GGGGCCCATCAAACCTTCTCTTCCATCACGGCCATCTCGCCCTGTAAATTTTAAAAAGAAGAAACAGAGGGTTGTAATTAATGGTATCAAACACAGTGACAAAGCTAAAGCATTCAAAGAGTTATGTATATACCTCGAAAGTAAGCACTGAACCACCAGTCACTGGGTTCTTTTGGAGACATCCCTGAACGATTGTTTGCATTAACCCTGTTAAGATAAAATCGCACAAATTGCAAGTGTATAAACGTGTTTACATCAAAACGTAGTCGTCAAGAAAGGTACAGTGATTTTAATTTTTGTTCACAGATTCCTTAAGGACATAGCATTCGTTTTCTCCGATACAAAACTAAGAAACTAGAACAGTTAAAATTTTACTTATTAGCTCTTATTGAAACACATCTCTCGCGATCGATAGGGGCGCACGCGCAAAAACTAAAATGGCTCAAAACTTCTCAAAAAGGTCATTATCTGAAATCGTGTACCTTAGAGCTGAATTAATAAATTCTAAATATTGTGAGCGTTTTACAGAAAAAGCTTCGGCGTTCGGCGACAATTAAAATCATTAGGGTCAACCAGATTGCCTAGTGGCTCTAGTTCCTTTCTAGTCTGGGAAGACTGCAGCATGCCGTCTCTACCGAATAATCCTGGTTTCTGGAATACCGGTCAATTTTTTGGGAAAATAAATAACATCAAAACTTAAGTTAAAGCCGTGACATATTAAGTGAACTTTCAAATATTTAACCAGACATTTTTCATAGTAATTTGAAATTTAAGGCGATGTTAATTAAAAGGAAATTCTGTCTAGTAAAAGTAGTTTTATGTCAGCCAAAAGTCAATAGGTTCTGTATCCGGCAATCGACAACGGCAAAAACTATATATGTCAAGTACCTTTTCTCCAAAGCTTGCAGTCTTTTCTCCAAATCAGCGATGGTGCTGACTTGAGTGTTTTGCTTCGCTGATCTCTTTCCTCTGCCATGCAATACCTGCTTGGTGCCTCTTTGATCGTCAAAGGAAATGTTGGGGTTTGGTTTCTCGCTCTTCAGCAAGTCTGCCCGCAGCCTTCCTTCCATGGTGGCAATACGCTGATTCATCAGAAGGTAGTTGCAGAAGAGAAAGGCAGA